CGAATACGTCAATGCTGTTGTAATGAAATGCTTCTTCTAATTATGTAGTTATTAAATAAAAAATTTTAAGAAGCTGTCACACTGGTGTTTAACGTAAGGATTTTGAGGTACACTTAAACAGCAGTCAGAAAAGCTTTTCTTATATTTACAATATTTTTTGATTATTTATTTTTGTTTTTATGTATGAGTGTCTTGCTTATGTGTATGTAAGTGCACCAAGTCATGCAATGCCTGTGGAAGCAGAGAGGGCATTGGATCCCCTGGAACTAGAGTTATGGACAGCTGTTAACCATCAAGTGAGTGCTGGGATCTGAACCCAGGTCCCCTGCAAGAGCAGCCAGTGCTCCTAACCACTGAACCATCTCTTAGCTTCTTACATTTTAACTTCATTACTAAGATGGTTATCCAGAAGTGGTATCACTATATGAATGGCTGTAAGCATGCTTAAGAGTTTTGATAATTTGTAAATTGGTACTTGTAAAATTAAGCTCAGTAATAAAGTACTTGTGCCTCTCCTTCCCAGAGTTCAAGTGTTGGAAGCCACAGAGGACTGGGTAGTTGCAGACTTATTTCCCAGGGTCAAGTCTATCAGTGTTGGAAGTAGCTCTTTTTCTATTCCTTTAGAAGGGAGGGACGGGAAGAGGAAAGATTGGAGGTTCCAATTCCTGTGCCTGGACAGTCTGCTGACCATGCCTCAGGAACTAATTTCTTTAGTGGGGTCATAGCAGTATCTCGTCTCCATGGGAACACTTACCGGTACTAAGCACTTTTTACACATGATCTCATTTGTACAATCCATTTAACCCAACCATCCAGAGACTAAGTGATTTATAAAACTAGGAGGCAGCTGTACGGTCTGCGCGTTTTCACTTGTGCAAACTGTGAGAGGGTTTAACTGTGAAACTGTCTGTTGTGTGAAATGTCATATCTGTAAGAAGAGAGAAGCATTTGCACTGAGGTGGACGTGTATATCAAAGCGGTAGTCAACCTGCAAGAGGTTTTCTCCAAACTTGATTGCCGGTCAGTTGAATATATTATTCCTTTATTGCTAATGAGTACTTTTTCCTGATACATTTTTATAGTCCCATCAATAAAGAAATATGTACCTAAACTTGTTTAAATGAATTTAAGATAACTCATAGTTGGTTTAGTCTAAAATTAATACCCTTTAAAAAGGAACTTTAAAAGTGCTCATTCTATGGGCTAGAGAGACAGCTCAGTGGTTAACAGCACTGGCTGTTCTTGTAGAAGATCAGGGTTCGAATCCCAGCACTCACATGGCAGCTAACAACTTTCTGTAACTCCGGTTCCAGGGGACCTGACAGCCTCTTCTATCCTCTGCAGGCACTGTACAGCATGGGTTTGCTTACACACATAGGCATAACAGTCAAACACATAAAATAAAATAAATTAATCAAAAAGAACTTTAAAATGATCTTTCTCGTAGGGGTCTGGATCTTGACTTGGAGAGTTGGGAAGCTTAGTGGTAATTCATGTGACCGCTTTTCTGTCTGAGGAAGATAAGGTACCATTGTTTCAGTTCAGGCAATGCTTGTTGGTCACCGTAAAGTGTCAGGCATGGTGGTTGTCCAGTAAGATCTGTATGTTTGGTATAGCAACTGACAGAGATCCACAGACCTCTGCTTCTAAGAGAGACACAGGCATTGTGACTTCATTATGCCCCAGGATGGCTGAGGTGCTGAGAAAGGCCTACATGTATCAGATGCTGGTGTGAGAGGCATTATCGTTGACAGTGGCCTTCCACACATTCACTGTATTTTCCTATGTTCAGATGAGAAATTTCATTTTACTCTCTGGAAGTCTTAATTAGTACAGAAAATATTACAACCCACGTTTCAATCCAGAACTGAACAATTAGTAGAACTAGTTGAGGGCCCCCAAATTAACATCAAAAAATCATGAATTTGAAAGCCACTGAGGGTACAAATAAAAATAGCTAATTTTTAAAAAAGTTTTTTTGTGAGAGATAAATAATGCCTAGTCTTTTTAAAAAAACAGAGGGAACCATATTAGTCCAACAACCTACTGACAAATTATACATACAACTAGATCAAAGAGTATAACAAATGTCTAGGCAAGGGTTACCTGAGAATGTATCTCCATGGCACATAGTAATTAAAAGTACCAGACTGGTGGAACTAACCTTCTTGGATGTTTAACAGCCGTACTTTGAGGCCTATACTAATTTGGTTGGAGGGACATAAAGGACATTTTCTGCTCCTTGCCCTCCTAGGTCGACTAAGTTCCAGGAGACTATGAGCATCTATCAAAATGTGGCAAGTCACCTGTCCTCTTGATCAAGGAGGCCATGGAGACCCCACCAGATGGACCTGAAACAATGTTCAGTCTACAAAGAGGAGGGTCAACACAGAGGAAACATTTCCTCCATGCTTCCAAGCAAAGCCAGCCATGGCTGAGCAGGACCTTTGACTTATCTTCACCTAGACAGAACTGGTAAAAGAAAGGAGCCAGGGGCTCCTTCCAAGCCCGTGTGACCCCTGAGGAACAGATCCTCAAATGACCTTAAGAGTGAAAATAGGAGCTGGAGAGATGGCTCGGTGGTTAAGAACACTGGCTGTTCTTGCAGAAGACCTGGGTTCGAATCCCAGCATCTACATGGCAGCTAACAACTGTCTGTAACTCCAGTTCCAGGGAATCCAACAGCCTCTTCTGACCTCCACGAGCATTGCATGACATGGGTGCACTCACATATATGCAGGCAATACACGCATATACATAAAATAAAAATAATGAATACCTTTTTTTAAGAGTAAAAATAAATTGGTTTATCTGGGCTAACTGTAGGGTCTTAAACACCCAAAAGGAAAGTATAACCAAAGAGTAAAGGAGTCAATATAATTTTTCAAGAGTTCATATGTATAGCTAAAGGCTACATAACAAGAAACAATGCCAGAC